AACAATAAAACAAAAACTGACGCAGCATGCGGCATGATAACGCATGAAGATGGGTGCGACTAGTGGTCCTGTGGATTAATGTCATGTATCATTGTTGGAATGGGATAAGACTACATCAGATGTCCCCTTTAATTGTCCCCACATTGGACCACCACAACAATATTCTCTCTCTCTCTCAAATAGTTAGTTCCCTTACATTAATTTCTCTTTAAACAATCTTAAAAATATGATTTAATATTAATTTAATACATTTAAGTAAATTAAATTTTCTTAAATACTGACTTTATAACTTACTATTGGATCTCTGACCCTTAGAGTTATAATATAATCATACCATTAAACCAAACATTATTTTATTTTATTTTATTTTATAAACCACAATATGGTCTCATCTTTGGTAAAGAGATGAGGAAAAAGGCAAACCTAACATTTCAAAATATCCCATCTCTGCTCGTCAACTAAGCTGCTCCACTCCCACAATTTTCTCTTTTCTTTTATTGGATTCTCATCAAATGTCAAGACACTGGAGCAAGAAAGGAGACCCGACAATCACCTGCTAGTATGGTTCAATTCAAACCCAACCCACCACCCTCTATGATAAAGGGGTTCAGGGGTGGCGCATTAGTTGTTTGGACTTTTTGACAACAGCCTATCTAGGTCACCGACCTTGGGCCAGGAACTAAAATGTCTAGAAAAAGGACCTGACTTGAATAGACATGTCTAGGCTGGAATGAGACACTGGACCAATGCAGAGCGCAGTGACCATTCTAAACCTATTGAAGAAGATTCCTCAACATCCACAGATATAATCATTCTGCTTCATACCCTTACATTGAAGGAGGATTTGCACAGTATCGTAACTAGCAATTTCATTGCACCCTTCAGACTAAACAATTTTATCTTTAATCAAGCCACTGCTGCTTCTAATTGGACTGCTCACTCCTATATGATTCTTATAGTAAAAGTGAAAAAACTTGTACATATGAATACTCTAATATAATACCAATTATACCAAGAATTAGGTCTAGCCAAAGTGCCAAACACAGAAAGGACTAGCTTCTCTAATAGACGAGATCCTTATGTTTCTCACAATTTTCAGCCAAGTTGGGAATTTCACTGGCCCTACCATGCATATGTATTGAGGTTGCTAACAAAATTTTCAGAGGCTACACTCTTAATGGATTTGCTAACAAAATTTAGACATCCCTCCATATCTACTAGAAAAGGGACCATTTCTAACATAGATACAAAATGGGCTTTAATATGAAGTAGTGCTTGAATGGTTGAGATTTAGATACTGGCAACCTCAACTTTTTATAATGGAAGTAGCCATTCTATAGTACTTCAACTTAGGACCCAGTTTTCAATACCATAGATAACTTCTTTAACAAGGGAACATAAAGCTCTACCCCAATGAAGCTGGATATAAAGGATCTAATCTTACACTCGGAGTTGTGGCAATATGAAGTGGCCTTGGCCCTGCAAACATGATGTAGAAGGTTTCTTTCTACAATATACCAAATACAAATAATAAGAATATAATGTATACAATTCTCTAGGGAAAATTAATATGTTATTCAAGCTTGAATGAGCCATGGTTTGCAAGAGCTGACTTCTATAATACAATTGAAGATCTGTATGATATATTAGGCCAGATAAAACTAAAGGTGCAAATAGTGGCAAAAGGCAAAGTTGTATGCACTCTATAACTTATGCTCACAGTTTTGCATGCAAAAACAAATTGATTCTCCAACAAAGCACAGGCTTTTCCTTCCAAGTTAGCAAGTTCATGATTTATAATGTTCAGACAATGAGCCTAGCCAATTCACATGATCCAGATCAAGTGAAAACTTCTGTGAGAAGATTTATGCTCCCAAAAGCAAACATGTGGTTGGAAATTCATTGCTATATCTTCTCTAAAAGAAAATCTAGCAAAGTCATAT